ATCAATCAACAGACAAATATCAGCAACAATTCTGAAATAGGTCCAGATTAATTCTTGAAACAAGACAGGGCAACTATCTACGGGACCATGTCAGAGATTAATTCTTGAAACAAGATGGGGAAAATATCTCAAACAGCCAACAAAGAGCAGGTTCCAGATTAATTCCTAAAACAGGACGGGGAAACTATCTTTCTTTCTCTTTGGTCAGATAAAGATCAATTCCCAAAACAGGACGGGGCGACTATCTTTATCACCAATGGTATAAACTCCCGAAACAGGACGTGTTTACCAACAAAGCAACTTATAGATCAATTCCCGAAATAGGACGGGGCGACTATATATATGACAAGCAGCTACTCAAACACTTTTCCCAGAGGTTCATTCTGGAAAGCATTCATCAGATACAGTCAAGCATATACTAATTCTGATACTTCTATCAACAATTAACTTTGGATGGCATCTATAAGCCCATCTCTGACGAATCTCCATCACCTCTTTGAGTGGCATCTTTAATCCTATTCTCGATATAATCAACTGACAACATTACTTCGTGCACAATCGAGTGCAAATTTCTGGGCACTTAAGTGTTGAATTATCTGCTACCTTCAAGTCACAAATGGCGAACGAGACAATCTAAATCTTCTGGTTAAATAAGATTGAACAGGGGCAGTTTTTGTACCCCAAAATTTTCCCTCCCTTTTCTTCAGGACATTTCTCACAAAGGTTCTCTAATGCTCAAGAATTCTCAAGAGTTGATCAGACAAGCTCACCTTCTAAGCACTGAGTCCACAAGTAGGGTATTGGTTTTCTCAAGGATAATTATTTTTCTAATGCCTCAAGTGACTTTCATGGTTAATTATAGGTCTCTAAGAAATCTCATACCAAGTTTCAGGTCTTGCATCATAAATTTGCTCAGTCAATTGATCAGATGATTGGAAATCAACTTTATTGGGTAAAAAGTCAATTATGGTCAATATACAGTCAAACTTCAAGATTTTTGGCCAACATCAAATTTTTGAAGTCATATTCATAAATTTATCAAAGGTTGATCATAATTCCTCAAAAAAAGCCCTTAAATCATAAAAGAGGCAAATTTGTCAAAATTAGGGTTTTTACTGAGAATGATTGATCATTGACTTTTGACGTAGTACATGACCTAATGACTTGAAGCATGATCTTAAGGTCTAAAACACAATATCTTAACCTAATTTAATGGCTCAAATCATTTCTAAAGAATAAGTGATTGATAGTTGAAAATTTGAATCAATTGATGAAAAGTTGACTGACACACAAAAGTTAAACTCTGACTTTTTTGGTCAATATTGAATTTCAAAGATCAAGAATCATCAAGACATTAAAAAACATCAAAATTGATCAACAATAATCAAGAAAGTCAAGTAAAGTCAACAAAAAGTCAAGATTTCCAATACCTGGAAAAAAATTATGTGTTTTGACCTTGATAAATTTACTACTTCATGACCATTTTTCACTAAGAAGCAAGATGATTCAAGGAAAACTTTCAACATGAAAGTTGTAGATCTTGATGAATTCTAAAACTAAGTCCTTAACGGTTGATGTCCAAAAAATGTTTGGATTAGTAGATATAGGCCCATGAAGTCATGACATTTTAACAAAACACTTAGTGAAATTTTCAACAAGTTTGGTCAGATTTTTGTCCCAACTTCATGGCAATTTTTCACCAAGTTCCAAGTTGATTTATCCAAAGTGGTCAACATTAAAGTTGTATAAAATATTTCAATCTTTCCTAAATGTCTAAGAACTTAAAGAGATGATTTGTGAGCTAGGAGATTCAAAGAGATGAAGTTGGGCATCCATTCTTGAATTATAGGTCATTTTCATAAAGAACACATGATCAAATCTCAAGCCATGCTGCATAAATTTTGCTTTTCAGGCTTCTAACTTGCAAATCACTTCATAATTAAATGTTTACACAACTGATTGGCCCATTGTCTAAGTTTTTGAGCCATTGTCCAAACCAATTTTCCATTCTTATAAAGTTGCTTTAATCATAAAGTCAACTTGTCTTGAGCCTCTAACTTGTTTCTTATGCACACACTTAACCTACAAGATCAAAAGAAACATGTTTAAAGTGTTCAACAACTCTAGAAGGCATAGTACAAGCATTGGAACCATGTTCTTCAATGTTGCTTCAAAATTAAGTAACCTAGCCATAACCTTACAACTTGCAAATCTGATGTTCTCCTTCCCTCAAACCTTTTCCCTATAAATAGAGAAGATATTTGCAAGCTAACACACGAGTTTATAAGCGCTCTAACCCCCTCAAACTCCTTCAAATCAGAACTTGCATATAAAACTCCATTACTTGTGATTTCTGACATTGCACATAAAACACCAAATCCATTCGTGTGTTTTCATTTTTAATCAATCACAAAGCTTCTATAACTCATATAGAAGTTATCCAAACACTTGTTACACCATTGTAACATCATGTTCATCATCCTCCATTTCTAAAAACTGAGCTCTACAACTTGACTTCTCCACAAGAATCCAGCCAATCTCAATCCAAAGTAAGCATTGCCATAGCTTCCATGGAGTTCAGTGAAGCTATCCAGATCATCGCAATACCTTCAGGAGTGCTTCAACTTCAAAAATGATTTTCAGTTTTGAGGTAATTTTCTCAATTTGAACTTCCTATACAAGCATCATTAATGGTTACTTTGTGAGTAAAAAATATAGACATCATTGCCCTGAAGCTAACCATGCCTTTAGTTTTCATTTATGTTAAATGTATGTGAAGAATTTTGAAGTTGAAGTTTCTGAAAAAATTAGGTTTCAGTTTAGTACTAAACAAAATTCATTTTAGTCTTTGATCTTTAGCTTTTAAAAGTTATAAGGTTGAATTAATGGTGAAAAATCAAGCAACTTCCATGTTTACATTTTTGAAAATGGTTGAGAAATGAAGGAGTTACAGATTTAACAATGGTGGTGTTCACCTCTGTGCGCGCGAAGGAAGAAGATAAAGTCATTTTCAAATTTTTGGAAATGAGCTTATTTTAAGTTTAATGCAACATGCGTTATGAACGAATGAAACAGCCACCCCAGTGGCAGAACATGTGTGTGCTAAGTCATTTGTTACTAGGAACCTGGATTCGAGCCCCAATGGTACCCTTTTATTTGTTTCAAATTTATTTGTTTCAGATTCAGTACAAGTATGCTGAAGGAGCACATGATGTTCCTCTCACCATCACCACATGATCATAACATGGCTAGATCCTGTCATACCCCATTTTTTACCCCTAATTTGTTCATTCATAACATCATATGCATTTACATCATAAATCTTTCATTCATTTCAGCCTTTAAGGCATAGGATCAAATAGCTCTTGGCATTAGGGTTTCCCCCTATTAATTGAGGTTACTACCTCTTTCAAGGTGACTCCACTGTTTCATTTATCACTCTTGGTATAAAACAAGGGTTTTGGATTTATGAGTATCATGGGTATTTTCCTCGGCAATATTCCTCAAGATACAAAGTTTTCTTCATCGGAATTTTCTTCGAATAAAAAAATGCATTAGGGTTTCTCCTATCTTGCTTGAGCATTGATAATGATTCTTCAACAAAGTTCGTCATGCTATGGTTTACATCTTATCGTGCTTGAGTTTGTCGGCATTTCGATTGAAAGTCATTGGACCTCATACTTTAAGTCCTATCATGCATCTTTAAGTCGTCCCTCAATGCACTAATCTTGTTTCAATATTAATAGTTATCAAGCTAGGACGGTTTTGTGGATTAAATTGTGAAACATGAATCATGGCATGGAAGATGTGATTGAGAATTCTTTGTAAGCAGAGTTTGGTTGCCTATTCAATTATTTGGTTGCTTACAAATTATTTTGGATTTGAATTGAAGACTAAAAGTTGAGTATGGAAAGTTCATGTTTATGGCTTACTTGAAATGCGATTTACAAGTGATAAGTTCTAGTTGAAATCCAAGTTCGAATTTATTCCAGTGCATCATTTGGAATTCAAAAAAAAACATAAAGTATTCATCATTTCCTGCAAATGTATTGCCAAGATCAAAGTTGTAAAGTTAGAAAACTGATGAATTTTGTTTGCTTGGAATTTATAAGTTTACATCATGATTCAAGAGAAGATTACAAGCATGCCATATTTCAAATTTCACTGAATTTCACTTGGTTCATCATCGTTCATCCATGGCTCATCTTAATACAAGTTCATTAAATCCAAAGCTTCGTGCAAGCATAATTCAAGTCAAAATTCAAAGTAATTCAAATTCAAATTTACATCATAATACATCAAAAATTCACAAAGAAAAGATACAAGACATTTTTTTAATCTAAAGTTCCTAAGGCTTATCTTCCTCTCACCAAATAACACCAAAGTTTTTACCTTGACATCAAATTATGGTTTGAAATCTGCAAAAAAAAAATAGGACCTTATTATACCAAATAGAACCTACCCTGCAGACATCAACAAGACCAGTTCCGAAACTAGTAGCTCGCATCGATTCAAAAGCTCAAAGAAATCCACCCTGCACCATTGAATTTCAATTACAAAAAAAAAACACTAAACCAGAAGATACCAAGCAGAAGAGATAAATCAGAAAACAAAATAGAGCCAAGACCAATGAGAATCTTGAGAAGTAATTTCCTGCTTGGCAAATAATTCAAAGAAAACTCAAAAAATCAGCATAACTACAATTCCAGCTAGGAGCTCCAAATCATGTTCAAACTTGTTACAAACTTAGTCCAAAATCTTTTTCAGATAATAACATGTGAAACTGTATCCAAAACTAGTTAATAAACCGCAACCTGCAATGTAAAAAAGGACTTGCCCAAATTAAAAACATAGCAGAAAATACCGAAAGTAGAAAGTGCAGAGGAAAATAAGTCAGGAATTAAAAATATAGAAAGGGAATTTCAGATCAAGCTTCATATCAGATGTTACAGCTCAGCATATTTTAAACTTCTCTAACAAGCTTCATAATAGAATTTGAGATGAGAAATGAGATTCAATCCCAATCATTCATTTGTTATAACAGATTTTTAAAATCAAGGGATGAGATGTTTCTACCTATAGCAAACTTCTCAGACAAGCCAGGCCAGCTGATATATAACAGATTTCATCTTCAGATTCAAGAAGAAGAAAAAGAGATGAGGAGGACGATCTTCACTTCTGCAGACGAACTTCTCATAGAAGTTTCAGAGTTCTCTCTGGAATTCTGAGGCTTCAATGATTCACTTCTCCAAACATTGGTGCCAAAAAACTTCAAATTCTCTTTAAATTTTATCTGCAATTTCCTTCACGTCATCATAATCACCTCTCCATCTCTCTGCAATTGTTCCAACAATCTTCATCTTCAATCTTATCTCGTCTCTATCCCTTCTCATATTTTCTGCAATAACAACAAGGCTGCCTCATCAACACAAAACACGGAGAAATGTAGAAAACTTTGAATAGAGTAAATCGAAGAAGAGTAAAGCGAAGAAGTGAAAAAGGGGAAGAGATAGTTTCATAGGAAATTGAAACGCATACCTGGATTGTTGATTTTATGTCTCACTATCGAAGATGTGTCAGACCGGTCTCCGGCAGGTAAGCCTCGATGCTTCTTTCTTATTCTTCATGCACGATATTCTGGTTATGCTTGCTCTGAAATATAACTCGAAAACGGAACAACGAAGACACAGAGGTGATGATCGGAGTAGCACGACGAAGCGGAGTTGAACGTGAAATCAAAAGCGAGCAGAGAGGCAATGTTAAGCTTGGAAAATTGAAGCTGACGGCAGCGCTGCGAGGAGGAGTATTTTAGGCTAAGGTTGAGATCGGTGATGAGCGACTTTGTAAAGATTTGAGAAGGCGAAGCAGCGTTTAGTTGATGATGTCAACTGAGGAGGTCGAATGGATATGAAGCTTGATGGATACGTGATATCGGTGATTCGTCAAAGATGAGCATCGAAAGAAGAAGAACCGCGGCGCTTTGAGGATGAATAGGAGAAGGTGATGACCAAAACAGGGCGGGGGAAAGAGGCGAGACGAGTTTGAGACGAACGAACTAGTGATGCATCGGAAGAAGTTGAAGCGGGAACGTCGCTTGAAAATTGATTTCTGCGGCGCTGTTGCGAAGAAGACGATGGAGCTGAGCATGTAGAAGATGATTAGCCATAATCCTTTAAACCCTAGCGTTCTTCTCTTAAAACGACATCGTTTTTTAATTTAATTTGTTATTTTATTTTATTTCTTTTAGTTAGGAAATTGAAAACAAAAATCTGAATTGGACTGAATTAATTGGGCCTCGTTTTTTAACCTCCCTTAACCCCATACTGCCATCAATTTTTGGAGTTGTTACCAAAAAACCTTGTGTTGGACCATTCAGCATGGGCCTAGCATCCCATTTATTTACAACACACCTGAGCCAAGCTTTATACCTCCCTCTTTTTTCTTATTCTTTTATGGTTTTAGTTCTATTTTCTTTTATTATTTTTAGATATTAAGATAATAAAAAATAAAATAAAAAATAAAAAAAATAAAAAAAATACTTTAGGATTTTATAAGTATTTTAGGATTTAATTAGATTTTATTCCTATTATTTCTTCATACTTTTAATTTCTTTTATATCAATTTTACACATCATGTTTTATGTGTTTTCTTTGTGTAATATTGATCAAATAAGATGCTTGAGAATTAAGGATTATCTTGCGTTGAAATGCCATGCTCCTTTAGGATTCCATGAGACGATTAATCTCCCTTTTGATCATTTTATGTTGATTAGACCTTAGGATTTTAATACAAGCATGATAACATCAGGATAGTCCCTTCATCTTCTTTAAAAATCTTCTCCCTCCTTTTGAAAACTCTTCTTGTTTCTAACTTGAATTGCTTTCACAATAAACTTGGATTTAGTTCCATGTCTTTTAAAAAAAAATCTTTTCTTAATCAAACTTTAAACAACTTAACAATACTTTGACCTTTTTGTGAGAAGACTAAAAATTAATCAATCTCATTCAAACCATTTTCCACTTTGGCTCTTACTCTAAAACCTTTCTCAAAAGATTAGACTCTTGTCAATCCTTGTAGTGATACAAACAACTATACTTCTACAATATGTAGTGAAGTGAGATATTTTCCACTTGGATATTGAGTGAGGCATTGTTGATTTTAAAATCCAAGCCATATCCTCCACTTTGAGATGATGCGAATTCTCCTTTCTCATGATTGTGGGTAGTAAGTATGTTTTCCACACGGACAATGACGATGATGTCTTATCTCATAAAATTAACCAACACACTTGTGTTTTAAAATTTTCAAAAGAGGAACTACGAGTGTTCTGATTCCTCCTGGGATACGTAGCCACTGGATTGAAGATCCGGACGAATGCAATAATAATAATAAAAAAATTCTTTTTTCCCAAATTGGTTCATTCATGCAAATAGCTCTTTTTAATAGCCAACATACACAGATTTTTACAAAGAGGTTCCTGCGGAGTACCGTAGATGTTTAGGGTGCTAATACCTTCCCTTTGCATAACCAACCCCCTTACCTTGAATATTTCCCCCTCTTTTTGGGTTATTCGCTCTTTTCCCATTCCTTTGGAAACAATAAAGCGCGGTGACGATTTTTATTTTGATCTGTATAAGTCTAGTTAATCTAATGGCTTAGTCTTAAACATTTCTACGGCTACAGAAAAAATGGAGACTTCACTAGGGAAAGATTGACCTCTTGCTGGTCCATCCCTAAGTGGGTTGAGCCTATCTTTGTTTATCTGTGTATATGCTATTATTTATTATATATGATTTTTTGTATATATGCTTGTTTGCAGGTTCTTTCTGGTTTTTAGTGTTCAATGATCTTTGTGTGGTGAGATAATTCATATACCTGGACTTGAGAAAACTTATGTTTAGGACGGGAGGTATAGTCATGTTAACTTTGGGGGAGTAATCCCAAAAAAGGAGGCATGAAATCCCCCACTCAGTGGAGGCCCCTTTGACTGTAGTGTCGTTTACCGACTAATCGGGATGACGTACTACTTTTGATCTGGGAGCCTGTTGAAGCTGAGGACCGTAGAACCCCTAACCCATCTTCGCCTTTTAAGAGTAGTGCGGAAGCTATGACGGAGTAATCCGGAAGTGGTTGTCACGTGACGCTACACTCGGACGAGTTTTTCCTAAGAATATTACTAATTACTAAGTAATCAAGACGTTGGTAATATCCGAAGTAAGGATGTAGACTCTGGAAACCTTTTAGAACCTTGATTCGGTAGGTGATGTACTATTAGTCCCTACCTTGCGGGTTGTTTTTTACTTTGGCTCCATGCTCGTGATGCCGGACTTTTGAACATGTTTTGTTCTACTTGTTCAGAGGATTGTACAATAATTATCCAGATTATGTGAGGACTTTTGATCCCATGACTTTGATCTTATGAATGTGAATTACCTGGAGTTTATTATAACAGGCATGCCTTGCATCACCAGGGTATCCAAATCTTTGATTCTGGTATTGAACTTATCATCTTGAGATAGATGCTGATAGAAGGAGCGCCATTGGTTGCAAGTTCACGATACCTACTCTGAAGTCTCTTCTTGATTTGGGTTCCAAGGTCACTCTAGACAGTATAGAGGTTTTCAAACAAGTGTATGGGACCATTCTAGATATTCTCCACACTCCTATTACACTTTTGAAAGGAGGGTTATTCATATTCTTTTCAGTTTTGTGATCCCTCTCTGAGATGCTTCATATTAACTTTCTCCCTCTTTGGATAATATTCTTATGTTTTTGGAAATTCCAAAAAAATTAGGTCTTTTTAACACTTTGATGAAAGTTTCTGGATTTCCCTAGATTGCAGAGGCTCTTTATTTGAGAAAAACTGTTGTGAAAGACAACCTTAAGGTTAAAAGACGCATTTCTGGGTTTCATCTTAAGTTTCTAGTTGAGAAAGCTTATGCCTTTTCTATTTCTGTTAGTTGGAATGTATTCAACACAATCTTGGATCTTTGCATTTATGGGATTGTGCTCTTCCCAAATGTTATGGATTTTGTAGATATGGATGTTATTTGTTTCTTTATGCTGAAGAATCCAGTGCCTTCCCGGCTTGGTGATGTTTATCATTCAATACATGTGACGAATGACATGAAAGGAGGACTTGTTCTTTGTTATGCTTCCCTTCTTTATCTATGGTTCATGAGTCATCTTCCTCAGACATGAGCTTTTGTGGATGCTAAGGATTCTGTGAAATGGTCTAAGAGACTGATGGGTCTTGCTACCCATGATATTGTTTAGTACTCTAGAAATTATGATGAGATTACCTACGGCCGTGGGGAGTTTCCAAATGTACCTCTTATGGGGGTAAGAGGAGGTATCAACTATAATCCCATCCTTTCTCAATACCAGTTGGGTTATGAGATGCAAGGCTAACAAAATAGAAAAGACGTGGATGAGTCCATTCTCTATTCAGTGACTGGTAATCATGCGTTGCTGATGAAGCCTGGATGAAATGCACCTCAGAAGAAGGGCTGAAGGCCCCTATATTGGTTGGGTTAGGAAGAGCGTTGGGATTTTTCATCTACCTTTTACTGTGGAATTACCTTTGTATCCACAAACACTTATTCAACACACTTTTGGGCCTATTTAAGATTTCAACAATCACCAAGATGACAATCAAGAACTCGGAATAAAAATTGAAGAGTTGAAGAAAGAACTCTATAGAGCTACCTGTGAAAGGAATGAGCTAAGAAGAGACTGTTCAGACGAAAAGTCGAAACAAAGTAAGAACCGAAAATGGCTTGAGAGTAGCTTACTTCGTTGATGATGAAAAATAATAATGTCGCCAAAAAGAGAAGGCTGATCACCAACTCATCAGGCGCAACTTCCAATTGAACAAAAGCTCTAACAAAGATTGTAGAACTCAAAGAGAATTCACAAGCTGTAGCTAGTGGAACCAGAGTTGAATCTCACTAGGAGGAGTTTAACTACAAGTAAATTCAATAAGAAAGTGACCATTTGGATCACCATTGTCGCTACTCAGAAGTTATTTACCCACAGAAGGAATATGCTTATCCAAGAGTTGATTCAGAAGCCAAAGCATGATGCATTGCCGAAGCTTTTCAAAGAGAGACTCAAGAGTGGAACAAGAAACATCTTGGTTTGGGAGGTCTTGCTAATGAGAAGATGTTCCTAAAGGGATGTGCATCTGTTGATCTGTGATCTCCATCATTTATTTTAATAGGATCCAATCCCTTTGAATTTTGCTTATGGATTTTGATTGCACTAAATCCATGATAATATCTCTCCGAGTTACATTTTCTCTTTGCTAGTGTTATATTCCTCTTGTATTTACTTGCTTATTCAAAGTCGGTAGATTCTTTGGAAGTGATTAAACATAGTGTTGGCATAATCTTATGCATCGTTATGCATTCATGCATCTTTATGCACACAAACATTTATAACAGATGTTCAGCATCAGAGATTATTGTTTTGACTTGGTTTTCTCTGATAGAAGTGTAAACCTGTCTTTCCCTCAGTGACAAAATTCTCAGCAATCAAAGATTAGATATGATGTAATTTTATGAAGACTTGATTGGGATGAAGGCCCAAATGGGTCAGCTTATGGAGGAAATGCAGAGATTGCGGTCTTGTATTTGTTCCTGCAACAGAGGTTGTTACTCCTCCTTTCTCTTATCCTTCGGGATTTGATTCTTGATACCCGATGTGATTTCTATTCTGGGGCACCTTGATCGGGAAATTGAAGGTTGGAATACATTTGAATGTAAATTTCAAGACCTCATTAATTCTAGGGCAATCATTCATTCCAGATGGCTGTAGAAATTGAAGCCTTTGTCCAAGTAAGTGTCAAGACTGCGAAAGTATCTTCCAAGAAGCAATGAGCCCAGATGAAGAAAGTCTTTTCAACATTGGCATGCATTAGTTTCTTATTGCATTCTCATTCGTAAACATTATTTCTTGTTAATACAATGTTTTCATATGAAAAATTGTTTGTTTTTTAATGTTAATCATAATACACTGAATATGTTTGACTTGAAGTAATCAGTTTTTATTCACTCGTAAGATGTTTTTCTGCATTGTGATACTAACCTTTCACTTACGCAAAGATTAGATGGAGGATGATGATAGTAAAATGCAAAATTTCTAGTTTTATGCTTTTGGATAAAA